AGGCCTGTAATTTGCAAGAATTGTAGGATCAAGAACAGTTTTTTTTAATCAGAGGTCTGACTACAGCATGTTTAAAATCTTTAGGGACTACACCTGACACCAAACTGTGGTTTACCAGCTCAAGAACCAAAGGTCCAACTGTTGGTAACACCTTTTTTAAGAGTCGAGGAGGGACAGCATCATTTGGAGACCCTGCAGGCTTAAAACGACTAAGAGTCTCCTTTAAAGAGGACAGAGTCACCGACTCAACCCTGTCAAAGACAGCAGAGCAGGAAGCAGAGACTGAGGGGTCATGAGCAGAAGGAGAGATTTGAGCCCTGGTGTAGGAGTCGCAATAAAAAAAAATGTAAAAAATTTTCACAGGCTGCAGACGAAGGCTCGATACAGTCAGTGGTGCACTAAGAACAGAGTTAATAGTTTTAAATAAAACACGCGGGTTGTGACAGTTTGACAGAATAATGTCAGATAAGTTATATCTTCTGCCACTTCTGTCCCATTTGAGAGACTGTTGTTACTTGCAGGTCACATAGTAACAAAAAAAGTGAGCTGCCTTGAGCTCTGAAAATGTGAACAAGCTAGTTTGTCTAAGTAACTGGCTGAAAGAGACGGACATGGAGGCATTGTGATGATCACACAATTTTAGCCTAATGTACAAAATAATTTTGGCTAAGGTTACTCAGAGTTTGAAGGTGAAGCTGGTCAAAAAACCTTTTATGCTTCTGCGTTATTTTTATAAGAAGAAAAACTGCACTTCATGTTCAAAGTTTTATTATTATTATTTAAAGACAATACCATGTTGAAAACGTAATTAAAGTACTTAAACAGCACTTTATTTTTAAGTCTGCCCAATTTTGGCCAGGGATATTATTTTTTCTCTGTTTTGGATTGAATTGCAGTTTAAATGCTTTTTTCCATAAATTAAAAGAGCTTGAGTTTACAATATGCATGTCTATTATTTGATTCTGTCGCCCACTAAAACCCTTTTAAATTAAAAAAAAAACCCAAAAAAACATTTGCACTTTGGGGCAAATTTTCTTGTGCGATTAAATGTGATTAATCTAGATTAATTAATTCCAAAGCCTCTAATTAATTAGATTAATTGTTTTAATCGAGTCCTACTCCTATACACATATACACACACACACACACACACTCACCTGGGGTGTCTGTATCCAGGGGTCCTAAAGTTAGACCCCCATGCTAAGCGAGCCTACAGCAGACATGAGCGAGAGAGATAAATATGAAGTCATGCTGACTCGGACATCACCCGGATCAACAAGGTCCGTGTCAGGTGTTGAGGAACCAGGACACCCTTATGAGAAGTGGGCTGCTGGAACAAGAAGGCATCGGTGGGCATGAGACAAAAATAGGGCGTTGTTGGAATGCTACTACGCAAGTAACCCTGGCAAAAGGGGTTACATAAATAAGATGAGGAACCAATGGAATCTTTGATACCCAACATCCGCTTTGATGGCGAAACAATTAGTAGCTCAGTGTTCCAACATTCGGAAGAAGGGATTGCTCTCACAGCTAGAGATTGACGAGGTTCAACACACATGCTACGGCAAGGGGGAGCCAGGACGACAGGTCAGGGGGAAGATATCGTCACCCCCACCCAAGATTGGGCACCAAGCCCCAAGTGCAATAGAAGAAGGATCGTTGAGTGCGAGAGGAACTGACCTGAGAGATAGAATCATATAGGCCTATTTAACACCATATACAGTTTACACAAGACAATTTTATTTGTTATATGAATGTTATTTATTTTAACTGTCATAAACAGGATGTGACAAGTGATAATAATAACAACTGTACTGCATTAAAACATTCACAGCAGGTGGGATAGCCAATCTTTAAGTGATGACGTGATGAACCCTGCTTCTGGGTCCAAACTACTCTTTTTTTATTAAGGCTGTTGTGTTTTTAACATGTTTTAATGCTTTGTATCTTGTTCTATTTGATCTAAACAAGCCCCTAAAAAAGTCAGTGATCAAGCCTCTCTCAGTTTTTATCATCGCTATTAATTTTAAAGCTCAGTTTTTAAAACCTTACGATGTAACTACAGCCCAAACCATGCAGCAGTATATTAATGACTAACCTCATCTTGCAGTTGTTCTCCTGACTGAAGTTTGGTCCATTTACAGCATCCTGCCATGCGATTGCATTTGTCCCTAACCTTCGGGAGCCCTCACGTTAACTTTTATCGAGTGGAAAAAAGTAAGCACTCATCCTCCAGCTTCAGTGTTTATGTTATGCTAACATAGCTGTGTCGCTAGCGATCACATAGCACATCATTATATACCAGCTAGCTCAGTTTCAGTAATCCTACAAATGCCACTGCTGTTTAGTTTTCTGTCTTCATTTATATGAGAAGTGATAGCAGAGTTGTAGGTTTTAATTTTTGCTGTGGCGATTAAGCTGCCGGATTTTTGGCTTCACGACCCTCCTTCGTGGTTCGTACACGTCGAAGCTCAGTTTGCTTTTTGTGGTGTTTCAGCCGACAACACGAAATACCATCATGTGGTAGCTTCGCTGGATCAGCTGTCTGCCCGCTGTGTGATGACCCTCCTCCGGGATCCCCCCACCCAAGGGAAATACCCCACTCTCAAGGCGCTGCTGCTGCGGTGCTACTTCATCTGTGATACAGAGTGGGCAGAGAAATTCCTCTCTCTCTCGGGCCTGGGTGATGGTACCACTCTCGAGCTCATGGAGAGCATGCTGTCCGTGCTAGGAATGGATGACGGCAGATTCCTCTTCACTCACCTCTTCCTCCGACAATTGCTGGTGCAAGCTGGCCTGGCCAACTACCCGCTGCTGGCCACAAAGGATTACCGCTCACTCGCAGAAGAAGCGGATTGCATTCTCCTGGCTACCAGGAGATTCAGCATCCAGGCAAGAGTTCCCGACTCACCGACAGCATCTCCCGCGCCCCCACCAATTCTCCCGGGGGCCTCCGACTCATTGATGGTGGCTGGAATCACGGCATGGTGGCACCAAGGAAAAGGGCTGGCTTTTTATCATTAGCGTGACAGCGCCATGCCACCTTTGCAGTTTTAAAAGCTCTATATAACAATCAGTCCATTTCGTCATTTTACTTTTGCACTATTGTGTTCTGGCACATGTTGTTATTACATGGCTTGATTAAGGTACACATTAGGCTGACATCTGGGGCCAGAGCTGAAACTGTTCTGGGCCAGCACAGGGCCAGCAGTGTGCCTGCAAATGGCCCGTGGCTGCACACAACTTATACATGGCCCATATACCGCAAAGAATGACAGCCCTTTGGTGGCCCAGATCAGGTTTGCCAGAGGTAATCCACATATGGGCCAGCACAGGACCACCAATGTGTCTGCAACTGGCCTTGTGCTGGCCCATGTGTTGGCCACCTCTGGCAAACCCGATCTGGGCCACCAAAATGCTGTCATTCTTTGCGGTATGTGGGCCATATGTAAGCACAATGTGTGGGCCAGATCTGGGCCATACCAATTTTGCTATGTGGATATATATAGGAATAATAAAAATGATAACTTACAATAGCAGCATCACTTTTGCATGCACACCTGTCACAGTATAGCTGGTTTCCTCCACCAGCATCTGATTGACTGAAATATTTGGCAACGGCATCTGTCTGAAAAATATATTCATGTCAATTGCTGCTGAAATTTACTAACAGATTAAACGAGAAGGTCATTTACGCCACCCAAACCTGCTACCACTGATGTATAAATCATTTCCCATAATTTTTGCAAATGTTTATGTAAATGGAGTTTCACTTAAATGGTGAAATGTCTAATCAAAATGTGCTGAAATGTAAGTTAGACTAATTATGACACTAGTTATATCTAACTAATACATTCTAGCAAAGTCTGAATGCATTAAAGAGGTAGACAAGATATCAGTGCTCACCACACTGTAATCTCTGGTGTCAGATTGCACCAGTTGAAGAGGTAGAGTCCAAAATGGATCATCTGTTCCTGTCTCTGTACTACATGTAGAGCACTTGTTCCTGTGTGTCAGCACTCCCTGGAATATCTTAAAAGACAACCACACAAAGGTTGTTAGCTTATATGTAAATTTAATTAACATATTTGTAATATCTAAACTGCAGTCTTTACCTGTGAGGCTTCAGGACTAGTTAGACTCAGAATCTTCTCAAAGCACTCAGCTGCGCCACCTCGTATGGACACTGGAGCAGTGGAGGTATTCAAGAAAAAAAAAATGCTATAACACATCTGTCAATGTAACATGTACTTAAAAAGATCATGATAATGATGATTTGAACATTTTAACAAATGCCATAGAATCCCTGTAGCTTTCCAAAAACAATATTTTCACTCGACACATTCATACATGCATTTAAAATCTAGGTAATCTTCTAGAATCTAGGATCTCCACAAAGCACTCAGCAGCACACCTTGTATGTGCACTGCAGCATAAAGGTTTAAATGAAAATATATTATTTAACATTATAAATTATTATTTTTATTTATACTTCAGTATAACATGTAAATAATGAGATTGGGGAAATGAGGAGTTTCACATAAATGAATACTGGGGAAACTATCAAGAAATAATCATAGGGGAAATCTCAAAACAGTGAGATTTAAAAAAGCCAAAAAAAAAAAAGAAACTAAAAGAAAAACACAGCTTAAGAGCGATCATATATATGATACACACAGAGAAAAAGGTCATTCAGACACCAAAGGATGCTACAATGATCTATAGTCTAATTAAATATTACAATAATAATAATAATAATAATAATAATAATAATTTTAACAAATAACATCCATTTATTACTGCTTAGGTGTAGGTTGTGCGGACAGCAGTCAAAACAGAGATTCTCAGATCTCCCTTTCCCCAGTCATCTCCTCCAGTTCCTCCCAGAGGATACCAAGACATTCCAAAGCTGGTCAAGAGATAAAGTCTCTCAAGTGTGTCCTGGGTTTGCCCCGGGCCTCCTGGTTGGATATACCCGAAATGCCTTACGTAGCTTCTTTTGATGTGAGGAGTACTTCTACTCTGCCATTTATGCAGATACTTCAATGATTGCTGCTGTTATGGCTTAATGTCTTAGGTAGGGCAGGAGGGGTAGGTGCAGCGTGTGGCAGTGGCCAAGGGCGGAGGCCCTAGTGACAGATGCATGGCAATCGAGGCTGGTGATTGGGAGGTGGAATGTATGAATGGGGTTCGAGAACTGAATTTGAGAACAGTTATTTGTACTTATATCCCAAATGTGTCTGTGAAGGTTCTCAGTCATCCAGGTCATCGTAGTCAAAGGAGCTTGCAAAGAAAAGCGTCTGGACTTCTTTAAGTTACTTGAAGACGTTTCACCTCTCATCCGAGAAGCTTCTTCAATTCTAAGGTCAAATGGTGGAGATATATAAACCTAGTGGGAGTTTCCCCCCGCAGAGGGACAAAAGGACCCCCTGATGATCCTCTAATCGCCTGAGCCAAGGTGTGAAACTGGGTGTGGGTCCCAATCAGCCAGAGTTTTGGGTGAGTTCATTGTGAAACCTGGCCCCACCTTATCATGCGAATTCCTGAGATCAGATGGCCCAGGATGTGAGTGGGCGTTAAGGCGTCTGGGAAGGGATCTCAAAACTGGATTATAGATGGCAGAGAGTTGGTGTCGTAAACCACCGCCTCTGTTCAAAGATGGTCGCTCACAGTGGACATAGATGGCTTCTTTCACTCCTCTTTCAAACCATCTGTCCTCTCTGTCCAAAATGTGAACATTGGCATCCTCGAAAGAGTGACCTTTATCCTTAAGATGCAGATGGACAGCTGAGTCTTGTCCTGTGGAGGTGGCTCTTCTATGTTGTGCCATGCGCTTGTGAAGTGGCTGTTTGGTTTCTCCAATGTAGAGGTCTGGGCATTCCTCGCTGCACTGTACAGCATACACCACATTGTTAAGTCTGTGTTTTGGCGTTTATATCCCAAATAGTTCAGAGTACCCAGTCTTCTTAGAGTCCATGGGTGGAGAGCTCGAGGGTGCTCCATCTAGTTGTCTTAATGGGACTTCAATACTCACTTAGGCAATGACAGGGAGTCTTCAAAGAACATTATTGTTCAAACATGTTTGAAAATAGGGTTTCAGATTTAAGTAGTTCCATCAGGTGGTGAGGGAAGATGCTGGACAGACCTCCATCCATCCATTCGCTTCCGCTTATCCCTTTCAGGGTCGCGGGGGGCGCTGGAGCCTATCCCAGCTGTCATAGGGCGAGAGGCAGGGTACACCCTGGACAGGTCGCCAGTCTGTCGCAGGGCTAACACACAAGGACAGACAACCATTCACACTCACAGTCACTCGCACATTCACACCTAGTGGCAATTTGGATTATCCAATTAACCTATCCCCACAAGCTGCATGTCTTTGGACGGTGGGAGGAAGCCGGAGTACCCGGAGAGAACCCACGCAAACACGGGGAGAACATGCAAACTCCACACAGAAAGACCCCGGCCTGATGGTGGAATTGAGCTCAGGACCTTCTTGCTGTGCGGCAACAGTGCTAACCACCGTGCCACCATGCTGCCCAGACCTGGCACACCTAAATGTGTAGTGAGGGTGCAATGGGAATGCTTTTCAGAAGCCCTGGTATGCAAGAACGTACACCTCCACCAGAGCTTAAAAAGAACGCCCCCTATCGGGCTTGGCTAGCATGTGGGACTTCAGAGGCAGCTGATGGGTATCTGCAGGCCAAGCAGAACACAGCTCTGGTGGTAGCTGAAGCAAGAACTCAGGTGTAGGAGGAGTTTGGTGAGGTAATTGAACGACTTTCAGACTGCTTCAAAGGGATTCTGGCAAACTGTTAGGCAACTCAGGAGGGGAACGCGGTGCTCTACTTAAAAGGTGTATAGTGCGCGTGGGGCTGCTGACTTCAACTGAGGATCTACTGTAGTTGGGTGGTGGAAGGAATACTTCATGGACCTCCTTAATCTTACCAACACAAAGAGCCTAGGGATGTGGTGGATGACTCAACCTTCACTGGGGCAGAGGTCAGTGAGTTAGTTTTAAAAAAATCCTTGGTGGCAGGACCCCTGGGGTAGACAAGATTTGTAGATAAGGCTCTGGATGTTGTTGGGCTAGCTTGATCGACATTCCTCTGCAACACTGCATGGAGATATGGGGTGGGCTCTCTCATAGAGATGGGTGAAGAGTGCAGTCATTCAAGAGAGGCACAGAGTAGAGCCACTACTCCTCCAAACCAAAACAAGCCAGTTGAGATAGAACGGGCATCTGTCTAGAAAGCCTCCTGGGCAAGGTGTTCCAATCATGTCCTACCAGGGGAGACGCTTGTCTAGAACCAAGCTTCACTGGTGAGATTTTATACCCCAGCAATCCTGAGAAGGCCTCAGTGTTCCCCTGAGTAAACTGGGGAGGTGGCTGAGGAGAGGGAGGTCTGGGTTCCTCTGCTTAGGCCCCTGTGACCAGCCACAGATCAGCAGCAGAATGATATTGCGATTTTTTTGGTAGGAAAAAACATGCTACAGAGTGCTGTCAACCCGGAAAAGGACACTGTGTTCTCTGAAAGATTAAGTATTACCTACCCCCCTTTACTAATAAATAGCCTATTTATCTTTTCTAAATAGATTAGTTTAAAATTTGGTGCAAACACTTATGAAAGAATTCAAAACTGACCCTGATTATATTGTCAAGACATGAAACATATCAGTATGTAAGGGTTAAATGAGGTTGATGTCCAAAAGTTTTAAAGAATTTTTTCTGTGTCACATTTTTTGCAATTTTTAAACTAACTATAAATTTGTAAATTTAAAAAACAAAAAAAACCTTAACAACTTATGTTGTTGCTATTGCTTGTATGGTTAAAGATATAAAGAGTAACTCGTTATAAAATAAATAAATGTAGTTATTTCTTAATGCCCCTTTTCTTGGTATTTTATTCTCACAAAATTTATTTTCACAAAACATTATATAAATGTTTTTATCTTTATAAGTGCCACAGCAAATCATCTTCTGTAAATGAGCTTTGCCTTCAGACAGTACTAACCACAACAGATCTCTAATTATACAGACAGGGTGGACAAGATATATGCTGTGAACATCAACAAAAATATAAAGCAGGTGTTAATTACATTACATTTTACGCTACTACAACTTAACATGTAAGCTGACACAGTTTTCCAAACAGATTCTGTAAGTGTGTGATAATGTTTACTGTACCTGGGTTGATGTCCAGCTTTGAACTGATTTCATGTGTGTAAGCTGTATTTTCCTTTAGTTTATCAAACAAAGTGTTAAGACGGTGATCAATATACTGACTTGCTCCAGGGTTCCTACAGCAATCAAAGTCACATGGTAATACATGTTCGCTGCAGTGTTTATTCACTTTAAATATAGACAAATATTTGATATTTTAAGCTCTGTAACAAACCTTGTCACAGCTTCTCTAAAGTCTTTTGTCATGAACAGCACCTGCAGCACACTGTTTAAGTAACACGTTCCTCCTTGGTTTACTAGCCCATGGTACTTGTTGGCTAGAAGGAGATAATCCATGATCAATTTAAATTGTATAACTGTTTCTCTTACATTTCTGTGGATAATCAACTGGTTTAAAAGCTGTTGATCTCTTACCCCAGATTTTATCAGTAAGATACCTATAGAGGAAAGCCATTTTGAATCATGTATCCTCTTCCACTGAATAGTGAAACCCTAGGTAACAACAAATTTACAGAACAGTACATAGATTTACAGTACATTGACTACAGTATCGATTATTCCATTGATTAAATTGCATAAATTGTTTAAACAATATTTGACTTATTACTGAGAAATTACAAATATTCAAAAGAGAAAAAATACGGATCTTTAAAGATGAACGACTCATTGATTTCCATTTCAGAAATTGGAATATTTAAATAGTTTAACTGCATATAACATTTGTCCAAAAGCCCCTTATTTTGTAAACAGCCCAAACTAGGGTATAAAATAAAATAACCTTCACCCTCTTGACTCACCCCTGCTTGCTGCAGATATTACTAGAACAGAAAGCAGGACAGATTCCGTCAACCTTCAGCAGGCTGTCCAATTTAAATATCGTTCCAGGCAAAGTTAACAGTTAAATGCGCTTTTATTTTAACTCCTGTCGTTTTTCTTTTTCGTATCCATTGTTGGATCTTACGAAGCACTCTGTGATTTTATATCTTGAAAGGTGCTAGATCAACAAAGTTTTACTTACTTTTATTTGCGAGTTTGTTGAACAGGTGCTTTGAAGGACTCCCGACAGCTGTTTCTAGTAAAGGTTTTAAAGGTGATTAATTAAAATAGTGACTCACGCGCGTACTCCTACATACGTTTCTAACGCCTCTGTTTACAAGTGAGCTCTACAGAGTCCTGGTAAATTTTCATTGAGGGTTTTTTGTAGTTGAGTAATTCAAATGACTCTATAAATATGAGCTTATTTTTAAGTGGAAGTTAAATATATTTCGACGAATAGTTAGAAGCTGGAGGTCACATACGCCTCTCCTGTGAAATGAAACAACAAAAGTTAAGTTTCCCTTTCGCTTGAAGCCCCACCTACTAATATGATGCATTCAATGGTTTTCAGAAACACCAGCGTCTATAACCACAAAAATTCTTTTTGCCAAATATGAATGTGTTGTTTAAAATTAATATCGATATTGCACTATTTTTATATTATTTATTACTTATACTATTATGTATATTAATATAAAATTTTCCTCAGAGAAAAAACCAACAAAAGTAAAACACAGTGGCTATGAGCACATTAAAACACTGAAGCTTCAAATACGTATACCTAAATAAATGCAAATATCATATGACAAAAGCTTTAACACAGAATATTACATAGATCAAACTGTTCAAAACCTTTCTTTTATCAATCTAACAAGATGTTAATATTAGATTGCAAATATCTATTTATAATATAGCATTTATACAATTGAAAAGGTTTCCAAAATCCTCTTTTTTGGTTCTCTCATATCCAGTAAAGGTGTGTAGTTTCTATAAATCCATACATCTCACAATCTCACAAGAAATGAAAAGACAGGACTGAAGAAATGGCTAACAGATTGCAAATACACTGCAGACTATCTGCCTTGAAAACTAAAACATAACTGCAAAATATTTTCTGTTTCACGGGAAGACTTATAAAAGTATATAATATAAATTATATTATATATTATGACCTGTCCAGGGTGTACCCTGCCTCTCGCCCTAAGACAGCTGGAAAGGCTCCAGCGCCCCCCGCGACCCTAAAAAGAATAAACGGAAGCGAATGAATGAATGGATGGATATTATATATTATATATAATATATTTATATTATATAAATTATATATTATATAAAGAAGAAAAAGCTACTTTGTGAAAAGTCGCAAAACTCTACAGAAGAACAAATTATATCTACCTATAAATTAAGTTTAGGCAATAAGCACAGCTGTGGTAACAGCAACTGCAGACAGAAGGTAAATAAGTAAGGCCACCTGACATCACAAACATCATGCGAATTACTGTAAGCCAGTAACAGAATGAAAGAGAAACTCAAGTATCACTGGGCCTGGATGATGACGGTGTTAGAATTTCATTAGTAGTTACTGTCAAGTGTTAATGTGTGGCTGGCAGTTCGCAGACACCAAGATGGAAACTAAACGCTAACAGCTTTTATTGCTGGAGCTTTGGAAAACAAAACACACATTCACAGAGAACTCCGACTAAAGTGAACCCTGTAACTGACTGCACAGGTACACATATAATGAGAGACAATGACACGACAAGGAATACAAGGAAACTGGAGATTTAAATAAACACAAGGTAATTAGAAGATGGAACACAGGTGAGGAAAACAAGGCACAGGTGAACTAATTCAGACTAATGACAGGGGAAACAAAACTAAACATAATGCATGCAGGACAACAGGCTATCAAAATAAAATGAGAAACACAAACACAGACACAGCTGCTGTCTTCCTTCCCCTTATCCCCAACCAGGCCCAGGGAGAGGCAGCCATCTGCCACATCTGGTTGTGTTCTAGTGTTTTATGGCTATTGTTCCTGACTTTAGCCATGTCTAACTGAATATATTTCCAGCTTTTCAACTTTATGCCAATTGTGCTGACGGCATCAGATCCAAAGTTCTAAGGATGTTTGACAGCCAGCTATCTGTGATTCTGAGTCATATTAAAAATACCCTGTATGGTTCCTGTACTGAAGAAGTCAACACAGTTAAAGTTTAATAACTATCAACCAGCTGCTCTCACACCACATTGCTTCATCCTATTAAGTTTGCATATAGCCAAATCTTTGAGTGGGTGATGCAGTCGTCTATCACCTGCAGAGAGCTTACTCCCATCTGGATAGTAACAGCCGTACAGTGAGAATTACCTTATTTGATTCTGCAGGTGCCTTTTATATGATCAGCCACTGCTACTGACAGAGAAGCTACAAGAAGTGTCAGTAAACACATCCGTGATGGATTACTGATTACCTGGCAGCCATGCCTCCATGTGAGACTGGGCAGTGCTCTGTCTGATTTGGTGATGCAGTAACGGAGTGCCACAAGGAAATATGCTGTCTCCATTTCTGTTTACAGTGTACATCTCAGATTTTCAGTACAAATCCCGGTCATGCCACCTAGAGAAATAGTGACAGTTGGATGCTGTGGCTGGATGCAGAATTGTGAGCAGCAAAACGATTTCTTTTACTTTGTTTTTTAGGAATTCAAATTACTAAAAAAAAAAACCCCAACAACAACAACAAAAGAAAACAGCTAATACAACTCTATTAGCCATACTAACTTGTGATACTACTATCAACATATAGTTGTTGTTCCTCATAAATGAAAGATAAATAATACATCCAAAATCACTTTTGCAGAAGTTGTAAGAAGAGTTGAATTTTCTGTCATTTATTTCATGTCATCGCAATTGTATTATTCACATTGTGTTTGTCAGCATTTCCCGCTTGTTTTATTAATGAATAATACATTTTATGTTGTTTTAAGATGTATATCAGCGGTCTCCAACCTTTTTTGTGCCACGGACCGGTTTATGCCCGACAGTATTTTCATGGACCGGCCTTTAAGGTGTCGTGGATAAATACAACAAAATAAAACTAGTACCGGTACTGAAAAAAAGAAGATTTATTCATAACACACGTGAAAAGACCCAGGAAAACCGAGTTAACAATCAAAACGATAACAAAATAACGCTGAAAACCTATAAAAACCCTGAAAACCCTACATTTCACACCTGAGCCTCAACTCTCGCGGCCCGGTACCAAACGACTCACGGACCGGTACCGATCCGAGGCCCGGGGGTTGGGGACCGCTGATGTATATGATATTACCCCGCCTATATCAAGAGGTGGTTCTTCCGGTGCACTTCTTGTTAGCCAATAGGCACTGACTCGCTAGTTTATAGAAAAATCACGTGACTTGAAGTGAAACCTAAGCTGAAATGAAATTGAAAGTTTCACACATTTAGTCTATCACTAAGGTTGTTCGTCGTTACCCTACTTTGCAGGTTAGATAGATAAACAGCGAAAGATGAGCTTTCTAAATTCGGCATTTGAAAAAGAGAAATGTTACGATCCTCGGGACTCTACACTTAAACTTGTAGACGGAGAGGATGAATTTGACTGTAAGTAGCTGAAAATGTTATCTTTCGATCCATTTCAATGTTATTCTTCTTGTGTGTGTGTGATTAAACCTTTTCTTTTTTGTAGTTCTGTGTGAGGGTTTCAAGTCTCCAAGAGCTCGGATGTCCTGCGGTCATGTTGTGACCCCGTCATCTCTCACCAACTGGTGTCTCAGGTTGTTGAAAGAGGTAGGATCATTTGTTAGTATTATTTTGAAAATAATTAGGCCTCCATTTTAAAAGATGGAGCGTCACATTAACAAAACCCGATCTGCTCTCTTATTGCCAATTTCAACATATATAACTGATATAAAAGTATTATCCCGTTGTAACAGCTGTCCTGCGCGATTTGTAGAACAATATAGTATTTTCTTTCAGATCCTGATCTATCCCCGTGTTAATGAAGTTTATTGCCACGTGCGTGGCGAGTTTTTCTGCATGACGTGAAGCTGCAAGCATTTGTAAAATTAGTATTGCGTCCCGGCGCAAATATTTTTTTTCGCACCCTTCATCTGTCAGACCCATTGCTGCTGTGACTTGACAAACATTTCAATACTAACCAAAGACGTACTTACAAAAAAAAGCAAGTGATTACAAATCCAGCGTTTCTATCAGCTCCACAAACATCAGCAAACATACTGTGTGCATTTTGTAAAAATGTCCTGCTGCTGTATTTCACAGAGAGAAATAAAAGAGAGCTGATTTAAATGAAAAAAATTAAGAAAGACAGGACAGGAGAGGAAGATAAGAGGTTAGATATAAAAGTAAGGGCTGCTCAGTGGTATTTGATAAATTTAAAGCTTACACCTAAGTCCTTGTGCTGTTAAATCAGATAATGGGCCTGTACACATGATATTGTGGGGTTTTTGTTGTTGTTGTTGTTGTTGTTTTTTTGTTTCATATTATGCAGTAAATCAAACTGAGGTAGACTGTGTTATTTAAAGGTTGCATGAGAATCATCTGCAGTTTAGCTCAGGATAAACAGGTTAGCTTGCTGTACTGTGATAGATTTACAGTAAAGAACAGTGTGTGACTGGTGCACAGTGGCTGTGGTTTTAATGGTCAGTGTTAGGTTATGGAACGCCAGGACTGCCATAATGAATTAATTAAATACACCATTAAATAATTAATTAAATGTGGCAATAATTGAATAAAATTGGAAATAATTAATTAAATAAATATTTACGACACATTTAATTAATTAATTATTGACACATTTAATTAATTAATGACAGTTTTAATTAATTATTTAATGATTTATTTATTTAATTCATTATGGCACTTTTGTCCCCTTCATGTCTCAACTTGAAATCATTTTATCTGTCAGCCTCACCCATCAAACTAAGTGGGTGGGGTTAACACTGCCACTGCAGCTTCTCTAGCATTTGATTGGTTGCCGAGCAAAGTAAAGAAGTCGATCCTAGATAATCAATTGCTTGTGTGGACTTGGGGCAGCCAAGTATCCCAGAATGCATTTCAGATCACAGGCAGCAATGGTGGTGGTGTAAAGTTTTAAAATACCCTGTTTTTCTGTCACCAACTACACTTTTAATAGTCTTTTAGCCGCAAATGTCGTGGCGTAATCTTCACATGTCTGGTCAGGTTGTCAACATAGAACATGTTTGCAAAAGTGCTCAGATGTTTTCAGAGATGTTACTAGCTCTGCTAACAGTCAGCTGACCGAGTGCACCGAGCTCACAGCCCCAGCGTTCCTGCTGCTAATTCAAGAAACACGCCCACGTTACCTGGTGATAGTCACAGTTTGACTGATATGACACAATGTCGGCGCATTTTTCTGCACAAGATAAGTAAATATAGCTTTTCCCCGAGCGCAGAGCTGCTGGAATTTGTTTCCCAACAGAGCACTTTATAGTTTTATCAGCGGCTGATGTCCAATCACCGGCACACAGCTTTGAAACCTCACCTTAGTTTTAGCTCTCAGTGGTTAAACGCTGGACTTCATTCACTCAGGTTCTGTCTGTCGGGTCACGTTTACTTCGCTGTTTTATTTACAACTGAGCAAATCGGTTTGGCTGAGGTTAAAGTTACGTTTCAGAACTGCTATAGTTTGACTTAAGTTTAATGGTTCACTGGCACATGTGTTAGATTGAACCATTCGCTTTTCTTTATCTGATGTGTTTTGGATTTAACAGTGAATTTTGAGATTAAACTGACTTTTAAAATGTTTTAAAGAAAGAGAAGAGAAGGCGCATTTCCACCGAGAGGAGCAAAGTTTGCAACAGTGTGTTCATCATGAAGACTGCAACCTGGACAGAAATATTACATCATCTGGTTTTTAATAGTTATTCAACTATATTCTAAGCACCAGCTGTCTGTTAGAATTTTTAGAGTTTACTTAACTGAAAATAAATGAGGTTAACATATAATTTGTGTATTTCAGTAATAACCTACTTATTTCAGTGTAGTGGTGAACAGTCACACAGCTCACGTAGGCGTTATCTGTGATACTCCTTAACTATAATTTATCCAAGTTAACTTCAGTTAACCATTCAGACAGTTCTTTTGCAATGAAAAACATAAACACCCATGTCGCCGGTAGGTTTCC